CTTAATTGAACCAGTTTATTCTATAGCTTACTCGATAGCTAGTCAATCTACGAACACAACGCTGCAAGAATTTTGAAAATCGTCGGTTAGTTTTTCCGAAATCGTGTCAATCGCCTAAAAAACATTTCGAGAAAAAAGCGTTCAAAGGTTTTTATAAATTTTTTTGAAAATAAAATAATAATTAAACTATTTACCGGTAATCAGCGATTCTTGGTCCATAAAGTAAGCCTCTAACTTTTTTAAACATTTGACTGTAAAAAAAAATGTTTGGCTGTAAAATCGTTAATTCTTCGAATTTCTTTCTAAAATTTTGTATTTTTTTAGCGTATTATTGAAATGTTGTACAATCGAAATGTGCAAAAAAAATCGATTTTTTGTCAATTTTACACTAGAATGTATCCGTAATATCCGATACAAAGAAGAACAATCTTTGTAACGGAAAGAAAACTTAATGTATACTGTGATTCCACGTAAAATTCGTAAGATCTATCCGAAAAGAAAAGTTAAGCTATCCGTCAAACCACCAATCTTTTACAGGAGATTGTAAATTGTAAATCTTCTAGACACCGCTTATAACTAGAGCCCCGATGTTCGTGCGCGATCCGGGGTTGCGCCCGAACATCCGGGCCCTATATAGTTATAAGCGGTCTAGAAGATTTACAATAAGAGAACATTTATTAAAATTAAGAAAGCGATGAAATAAAAATTGAAACATGCTAATATGAGCCGACACGGAAGATTGGTGTGCATAGACTTCGTTATCGGTTAATAATCCATATCATTCACAAACGTTTCAATCCTTGGCTCGGATTTTCTTTAGTGTAAATTCCTTTACAAGTAATCATTTACTGTACATTGTAAAACTGCCGTTCAGTTAATCTTTCTTTAATAATACAATTGAAAGTATATGAGAACGATGTATGTATAGAGAAAGCTACGAAAATTGTATTCCAAAATATGTCACTGAATTAATTTTGTTACTTGACTTTAAAATATACTGTAATTGTCATTGATTCATTGGCAAAATTATTACTTCCGAGAAGTACTTAGAAAAGCAGACCTCGGAAACTTTTTTAGTGCAGACTGCAGCGTAGTACGCGTAATAGTACCGATCTTGCAAAGTTGGGTCATCAAAACTTCATTAGTAATTTTAACGCGAAGTATAAGGCTGAGACGAACGAGGTAATGATCTACATCACCTTCCTGGTCATTACCAATGTCATCGTCACTATGTTGTTACACCATTCTTTCATGCAATCGTTGCATGTTGACGTGAGGATACATATCGCCTGCAGTTATCTTCTCTATCGGAAGATAATAATGCGATTTATGTAACTAAAGAGTTGAGAACTTTACCTTAAAAAAATAACGTGTTACCGTCACAAGTTATACATTTTAAAAAGCAACGTGTTACTGTTACCTTTACTTGAAAATGTAACGGATCTTTATTTTTCGGGAAATTGTTGAGTTTAGTACTCTCACGTACGAAATTGATAAAATTAATCTTATATAACGCGTTTTTGCACAAAAAATTACCTAATCTGGCAATAACAATCCAACAATTAAATTCAAAAATTACCGAATTTAATTTAAACATTAATGTCATTATATATATATATATTGTAACCGTACTCGCGAGCAACGACACAACTTCGTCGCGTGTTTTCGGTACTCAAAGTACGCAAAAGTATCTTCTCTCCCTCGGTAGCAGAATTTTGCGACAGCCAGGC